GCTGGGGATTTGAACCCGCCACCTTAGGTGTACGTGGCTGGCGCCTTAGCCGGTTGAGCTATAGGTGCCGAGCCAAATTACTGGGTTTCAATTCTGACTCTACCTTGCCCTAATTGGACGACATTGGGCTAGTTTCTTGGCCTGTCTCAGTTTCCTCATCTATACAACAGGGAAAATAATAGCAGCATCTATCTCATAAGGACTCCATAAGATGGTATACACAGAAAGTTTTATTTTTGCTTTCAATTGCTGCTGGCTTTTACTTTATTCTTAGTTTGAAGGTTTTTTTGTTTTGTTTGTTTGTTTTTTACTTCTTCCTCCTGTAGTGATTCTCTTGCCCCCCATGTAGCTGGGATCACAACAACCGGTTGTTTTTATTGGTTTTTTTGTAGAGACAGGTCTCACTCTGGCTCATTTTGCCTCATGCTGGTCTTCTGCTAGTCTCCAACTCGGCTGAGCTCACAGGCTGAGCTCAGGTAATCCACATGTCTCGGCCTCCCACAGTGCTGGGACAACAGGCATGAGCCACCACGCCCGGCCACACAGAAGGTTTTAAATAGTTTAATGTAGTGCCTTGCAATAATAAATGCCCAATAAATCAATACACGTGAGCTATTAGGATTACACTTGAAGTGTTATAGCAAGTGCTCATAGGTCCCTGGTTTTGTTGTTTATTTTGCTTTGTTTGTCTTTATTTTTTTTTGAAACCAGAGTAGTCTTTCTAAATGATTTCATTGATGGTTCACAAGATACTCCACAAAAAAGAAAGGATTTCGTAAGTTAAGGAAACCTCGAATATTCTCTCAAAGAATATTCTCTTAATATTCTTAAAATTTCCAGTGAATGTTATCATTTCAAATTCTCTAAAAAGTACTGTAATAAATAAACCTGTTTAACTCATCATTTCCTCTGGGTATGTCACCCTGGGTAGAGTGCAGTGGCATCATCATAGCTCACAGCAACCTCAAACTCCTAGGCTCAGAGATCTTCTTGCCTCAGCATCTCAAGTAGTTGGGACTATAGGTACATGCTTTGATGCCTGGAAAATTTTTTCTATTTTTAGTAGAGGGAAGGTCTCACTCTTGCCTAGGCTGGTCTCAAACTCCTGAGCTCAAGCAATCCTCCTACCTTGACCTCCCATGAGTGCTGGGATTACAGGCATGAG